GGGCCGCGACGGGGCGGCTGGGCCGCGACGGGGCTGGGCCGTGACGGGACGACGGGGCCGCGACGGGGTGGGGCCGCGACGGGGCGGCTGGGCCGCGACGGGACGGCTGGGCCGTGACGGGGCGGGGCCGCGACGGGTCTGGCTGGGCCGCGACGGGGCAGGGGCCGCTAAAGGGCGGGGCCGCGTCAGGGTGGGGCCGCAACGGGGCGAGGTCGCAACGGGGCGGGGCCGCTAGAGGGCGGGGCCGCGAAAGGGCGGGGCCGCTAGAGGGCGGGGCCGCTCGACAGGTGGGCGGCGGGGCCGCTAGTAAAGGCGGCGGAGCCGCGAGAGGAAGGGCGACTCGAAGGGTCGCTAAAAAAAATGCGCGCCTCGGGGCGCGCTTCGGTGGGCCCTAGGCGACGTTCCCACAGGGAACCCGCTCTATACCATGTGAAACTGAAGAACAGGAATGAATGAACTATGAGTGAAGTGAGTACAAATAGCAAAACCCTAATTGGGTTGTACCCCCTATGAGATACCCCACTGTAGCCTACACAACAGCATAAGCTACATATATGTTCTGACACCTTGAGCTCGCAAATGCACGCATGGCACGCACCACCAACCGCAGTCGTCGTGAGGTGTCGTTTTCAGTTGGCGACCGTGTCCTTCTCGACAGCCGCAACCTCCGACTGCCACACGACAGCAAGCTTCGCCCTCGTTTCATTGGTCCATTCGTCATTGAGCGCGCACTAGGTCCAGTCGCATACCGCCTTCGCCTTCCTGCTCATTTCCGCATGCACCCGTCATTCCACGTGTCACTTCTTCGTCCTTACACCGATCCTAACGCCACCTTCTCGGACCGTGATCGCACTCCACTGCCGGTAGCTGTTGACATCAACGAGCCCGACTACCAGATCCAGCGCATCCTCAGGCACCGTCGCCGTCTCCAGGGGGGTGTCCCTTTCATCGACTTCTTGGTTCGTTGGCGTGGTTACGATGCCGCAGACGTCAGCTGGGTTCCTTCGTCCTCCCTGTCTCCCGACAACGCTTGCCTCCAAGCGTACCTTCAGTCTGCAGGCGCCGCGGACGTCGCCTCCTTGGGAGGGGGGTAGTGTTAAGGGGGGATTTACTGTTCCCTTTGAACAGTACTTTCCCAACCAATCCAACTCATCGTTATCCTTATCTTCTTGGATTTCCTAGTGCCACGTGGCACTCTACTTTCTTTGCCTTCTAGTTCCTAGTCCCACAACCCACTTTCCCACAATCTCTTGCATGCTATATCAACCTTGCTTGCATTCCCTCATATGAATCAATTCTCATTCAACTCTTCTTCGATTACTCAGTAACTTCTTCGCCTATTTCGCCAATAGTTCTTTCGCCAAAGTCTTCCGCCGCGTTTCATCCTCGACTTAGTCAACCCCGCTAATTCTTTAGCGGACTTAGGCCGTCGGGCCTAACATTTTTTAAGTCGTAAATGTATAGCTAGGAATACGGTACCTTTTGCTTTGCATGTTCTGATCAAGCAAGGATAAAGAAAAATATGTATCCAGTGGGTAGCCATGGAACACCAGAAGTTGATTTGCTTATGCATTGAATAAGTGTTTTCAAGGAGAGCACATGCTATTCTGTACCGTTACCACTCATCCAAAGCAAAGCATGCGCAAAGAATGCACATCTTAGTGTTTTTCAAGCTACATAGTACAAGTTTGCAAAGCAGGCTCTAGAACTCACAGCACCATTTTGCACCTTCTGGCTTTGAAACGAGGAGTTGTTGCGTGCATACTTATCATATAAAAGGATTTGTTGTGTCATCAAATCGGATTGAAAATGCTTGAAAAGCTTGTTAAATAGCAAATATTTGAACGGCATTATCTCTCACGATCCAGATACGCCTATGAACTTCCTAAGGGAATGCTGTCAAAGAGAGCCATAAGAGGTTATGTGGGAGTGACGACAGAGAAGTTCAGAAGAGAGCCATGCTATCAGAGGTTATGTGGGAGGTGGCGAATGCAAGGAGGGAGAAGAGAAAAATGCCATGATCAACCACGCAAGCCCTTGAGTCAGGCAACGAAGCCCTTTTTAGGAGCTGCAGCAGAAAACGAGAAGGGAAAAAACGTTGCAACAATTAATGGGTACCAAGCAGAATGTGACGAAACGACAAGGGAGGTTGAAAAAGATGTTGATGTCATGGTCACTAATGTGACAACATGACGCGGGAGAGTGAACATATGCTGGTCACTTATGTGACGAAATGAAGCGGGAGAGTGAAACGATTGTTGATGTCATGGTCACTAATGTGACAGAATGACGTGGGAGAGTGAAACAGATGCTGGTCACTTATGTGACGAAATGACGCGGAAGAGTGAAACAGATGCTGATGTTATGGTCACCAATGTGACGACATGACGCGGGAGAGTGAGATGTCACGGATCCGAATGTGATGGTGATGAATGCCAAGAAAAGGAACGGAGCTTATGATGCGAAGGAACAAGAAGGTGACCAAGTGAACTAGGCACAATCTTCTATGAAAACGACGTAGCAGAATTGATGATGTGAGTGGGTCATGGTGATGTGAATTTAAAACTATGTCTTAATTTGGCGGCATGAGTCCATGCCATGCGACATGTAGTCATCAATATATATAACCATTAGTATGGTCCTTTGGGCCGCAGCGTACGTACGATCGGGTCTTTCGCAGTCGTTGATATAGTAGTCGACCCTGGCGTTGCATTGCTCCAGCGTCTCGTTTTCTGACGAATTGCAATACCCGTTGCTCCGCATATTCTTCACCTCATCACATGTATAAAACCCTACAGCCCACTCGAAGGGAAGACATGAGCAGGGGAGTTTGCGGGTAACAATAGAATCAGCACCAATACAGGGCCCAGCTATCATTGAGAGGAAAAAATAGCAATAACCACTAGATGCTGGTACTATTGGTGACTTGGTGACTCACTCAAAGTGTTCGGCATGAATGACGTCATAGGAAAGGGTACATGATGAAAGAATCTGATGATGAGAAGGAGGGAGACCTTACCATCCGAAGTCTTCTTGGGCTCGGCCTTCTTGGCAACAACGGCAGTGGAAGCATATGGTGAGAGAACGAGCACGACAAATAGCACGAGAGAAATAGCAGTGATTCCGCTGAGGCGCGCCATCATGACAATATCAGGATATGATTAGTCGTTGTGGCTCTGAGTCGTACTATACAGGAATGAGCGAACCCACCCGAGGACTACTAAATACAGATCTAAAGCTCTTCTTGTGCAGTTCATGACAGGCGAACTGGAACGGAATGTGGTTGCTATGGGGGCTGTTGGATGCATTCGTTCCGCGCTCGAATTGCATTCTGCCTCGAAACGCGATCCGCATCGAGCTTTGGGATCAAATATGCTGTGATGGGCACCTCGATTTCACAAAATTCACAGCCCAGCAAGAGCACCACATGTATTTTGGGTAACTCGCACAAGATGTTCGTTAAGTTTGCTGCTTGGTTGTGCTCGATCTCACTACAAAGTATGGACGATTTTAGCTAAGATGCTCGGTCTCGCTGGTTGGAGTTTCACTGAGGGATTCCGTAGATGCTCGGAGGAGAAATTCGTTGGCGTGCGCTGACCCGAAGCTGTGAAGTTACTGCGACCCCAATCACACGCAGCGAACATCAGGAACGTGATGATCGCGAAATTCGCGAGAATGAACGAAAACCGAGGTGCTGATTTTGAATACGTCCCAGCGCTGAACGCGTCACATATTGAAAATCACGCTCCCCGTCAGATGCGGCGACCGAATTAAAAATGACCCGTTATAAAGATTGTTCAAAGGGATCCTCAAGGGAACCGCACAGCTTTCTATGTTAAAAGGGAAAAAAAACAACAAATAACGCAGGGAACTTGATCGAGATTCCAGAAAAGAACAGGTAAAACAAGTGATTGAGAACAATATAACATTCTAAGCAGATTGGACATGATGCCCTGATGATTGCATGATTCCAGATTCAATGTTACAGATACAATTTTTTTTCATCGAAATACGGGCCTGCTCACGAAGAGACACATATGACACAGGTAGACACCATTGCTCGTGAGCCAATTACGGTGATTCATTAGGTAACAACCATAATTTGGTGAACTGCAAATATTGTGGTACAGACTCCCATGCAGAGAAACTAATCTATGGGTTAGTCATGCTGTGATTTTCCGTCAAGCTAAGCCTCACGCCGGCCAGTTGCACCACCATAATGACAAAAAGGGGAACTTTTGAGCAAGTTTTTTGGCAACAGCAGAGAGGGCGAGGTGTAGGGAGAGCAGCAGGGTGGTCTTGGAGGGCAGATGCAATGGCAGCAGTGGAGGCGTGGAGAGCTGTGGTTGTAGTGTGTGCGGCCCTGGTTGGGTGGTGGGATGGGGGGATGGGGAAATAAAAACCTAGGGTTCTGATGCCACGAGGTGTGCTGAGGTGGCGAGATAAGAAGAACGTGATGTGGTGAGAAGGTAACGTGGTGCAAAAGTGGCGAGATGTTGAGAAGGTGATATGGCAAGAAGGTAAGGGGGGGGTGAGATGATGAAAAGGTGATCTGGCAAGAAGGTTATGCGGTCAGAAGGTGAAAGCAGGGAGGAAGAGAGACAAGATGGAGAGGATTAGGGAGGAGCTGATAGGGAAGTCTATGATAAAAGGGATTTGAGAAAGGTGGGGAGCATCTCATGACACCATTACACCATCGTCCCTCACCACACAGCACAACTGTCACCCACTCTCACCCTCTCCCTCTCACGGCCTCATCACAATGTGACTCCATCCCAATCTCCCCCACTTCCTCCGTTTCCCTCCCCCAATCTTCCTCTCCCCACTTCCCCCTCCCCCCACACACACATCAAGCCCCTCTTCAATCCTCCACGTTTACCCCACTCCTCGCTATCTCTCCTCCACACACCTCATACCTTCGAACCCTCCCCTCCCCCCTCCCCTCTCCTCCAGACCCCACTGTAGCTCCTCTGCTGCATAATGCCGACGGAATGCCGCCCATGCCGGCCGTCCCTTGGCATCTGATGTGGCATCAACGTACGCATAATTAGCCAGCTCGTCTCCACTGGTTCTAAGCTCCATCCCAAACCCCCACCTCCTCATCCCCCTCCTCCTTCCCCTCCTCCTCACCAACCTCTTCATCCCCTCCTCCGATTCTCCCTCCTCCTGCTGAGTCTGATGAGGATGATGAGGGGAATGAGGGTGATGAGGGGAATGAGGATGATGAGGGGAATGAGGATGATGAGGGGAATGGGGATGATGAGGGGGATGGGGATGATGAGGGGAATGAGGATTAGGGGAATGCGGATGATGAGGGGAATGGGGATAATGAGGGGAATGGGGATGATGAGGGGAATGAGGATGATGAGGGGAGTGCGGATGACAAGGGGAATGGGGATGATGAGGGGAATGGGGATGATGAGGGGAATGAGGATGATGAGGGGGATGAGGATGATGAGGGGGATGGGGATGATGAGTGGAATGAGGATGATGAGGGGAATGACGATGATGAGGGGAATAGGGATGATGAGGGGAATGAGGATGATGAGGCGAATGGGGATGATGAGGGGAATGGGGATGATGACGCGAATAGGGATGATGAGGCGAATGAGGATGATGAGGGGAATGAGGATGATGACGCGAATAGGGATGATGAGGCGAATAGGGATGATGAGGCGAATGGGCATGATGAGGGGAATGAGGATGATGAGGGGGATGGGGATGATGAGGGGAATGAGGATGACAAGGAAAATGGGGACGATGAGGGGGATGAGGATGATGAGGGGAATGACGATGATGAGGGGAATGGGGATGATGAGGGGAATGAGGATGATGAGGGGAATGAGGACGAGGAGGTGAATGACGATGATGACGTGAATGAGGATGACGAGGCGAATGGGCATGATGAGGGGAATGAGGATGATGAGGGAATGAGGATGATGAGGGGAATGAGGATGATGAGGGGAATGAGGATGATGAGGGGAATGACGATGATGAGGGGAATAGGGATGATGAGGGGAATGAAGATGATGAGGCGAATAGGGATGATGAGGGGAATGGGGATGATGACGCGAATAGGAATGATGAGGCGAATAAGGATGATGAGGGGAATGAGGATGATGAGGGGAATGAGGATGATGAGGCGAATAGGGATGATGAGGCGAATGGGCATGATGAGGGGAATGAGGATGATGAGGGGGATGAGGATGATGAGGGGGATGGGGATGATGAGGGGAATGAGGATGACGAGGAAAATGGGGACGATGAGGGGAATGAGGATTATGAGGGGAATGACGATGATGAGGGGAATGGGGATGATGAGGGGAATGAGGATGATGAGGGGAATGAGGACGAGGAGGTGAATGAGGATGATGACGCGAATGAGGATGACGAGGCGAATGGGCATGATGAGGGGAATGAGGATGATGAGGGAATGAGATGATGAGGGGAATGAGGATGATGAGGGGAATGAGGATGATGAGGGGAATGAGGATGATGAGGGGAATGAGGATGATGAGGGGAATGAGGATGATGAGGGGAATGAGGATGATGAGGGGAATGAGGATGATGAGGGAAATGAGGATGTGTCAGGGAATGGAAGAGACGAGGCTGTGAGGATGGTGGTGCGTGAGAGAGATGGAGAGGAGGGCGGATACCCTTTGAAGGGAGGTGGGTGAGACGATGGGTGAGGTGATTCATTTATTAATCTTCCTTAAAGAGGTGGGTGAGACGATGGGTGAGGTGTCACCTCTACAAGTTGGCATCACCTCAAAGAGGGATGGCTAGGGGGGAGGTGGGGTGTGTGTGACGGAGGAAGAAGGGGGGAGGCAAGTGGGGGGGAAAAAATGAATTCATGTGACTCATGAGCTCGAGTCCATCTCCCCAAGCCCGTCAGCTCAACCTCATTCGCTCTCAGACTCGTGTGCTCGAGCCCATCTCCTTAAGCCCGTCAGCTCAACCTCATTCGCTCTCAGACTCGTGTGCTCGAGCCCATCTCCCCAAGCCCGTCAGCTCAACCTCATTCGCTCTCAGACTCGTATGCTCGAGCCCATCTCCCCAAGCCCGTCAGCTCAACCTCATTCGCTCTCAGACTCGTGTGCTCGAGCCCATCTCCCCAAGCCCGTCAGCTCAACCTCATTCGCTCTCAGACTCGTGTGCTCGAGCCCATCCCCTCAAGCCCGTCAGCTCAACCTGATTCGCTCTCAGACTCGTGTGCTCGAGCCCGTCTCCCCAATTCCGTCAGTTCAACCTCATTCGCTCTCAGACTCGTGTGGAGCCCATCTCCTCAAGCCTGTCAGCTCAACCTTTTTCGCTCTCAGACTTGTGTGCTCGAGCCCATCTCCTCAAGCCCGTCAACTCAACCTGATTCGCTCTCAGTGCGTGTTTCTACGGCCCCTTTTCAGGCCAACCTCTTACCGTCATCACGCGGATAAACCCCCAGGCCTATGTTCCACTCATGCGGCTATAATCGGACTAGTGCGCTTATAGACGGTTGCCGATTATAGCCGCACACTATTTTCGGCCTATCTTAGGATAAGCCCACCCCCTTTTGCCTGGGATGAGCCCACCCTCCCAAAGTCCCTGAAATGGCCTTGTAAGCACTCCTAATCATCTTTCATTAATAATTAAGCATCTAGACATTTCTAATCCTAGTCATTTTTTAGATGCCTAGCAACGGGATCTTGGGCCTAAACCTTCTACAATAATTTTGCAACGTCTAATGGTAGCGGTCAATAGTGGGGTCGTCCAGATCATCCCCCTCCCCCTCCTCCCCATCTGATTTAGGCTCCTCCACGTTGTTTCTAAAGAAGTCATTCGCCGCCACTTCGTCGTCGATATCAACGAACACGGGTTCGTCAATCCGGCGGTGGTGCATGCACAGGTCATCATGGAAGCCGTCGAGCGCTTTACTGATTGTGAGAGTACGTTGGCTTATGCTTGTTATTCATGCTTGCTATTATTTCCTTACGCTATTCCTAGCTTAGGATTATGTTATGCATGCATGAATTGCTTGATATCCTAGGTTCGTTGCTATACTATAGTTATTATAGCTATAGGCACCGAACCAGGTTACGTGCACCGAACTCAAGCTATTCGGTCGCCACCGAATTGCTTTCTACCGAGTTCGGGAAGGTTCTGTTCGGGACGCTTCGTGACCCTCAGAACATTCGCGTAACACCTGGGTTACCTGCATTGTGTCGAGCCTATATGTAGCCTCATGTTGTACCCAGGTGATAATTCAATTTACATTCTCTTTTCTGAGCTTGATCCTAGATCCTCACACTTGGTATCAGAGCCCGTTTACACGCGAAGTTCTTTCGACCGCTAAAACCCAGTCTTCAAAAACCGCGAGGGTGACGCAGTTAAACATCGATTTCGGGTACGTAAAACCGGTTCCGTGTTTTTCCGCTCCTCCTCGATTCGGTTTTTCGGACGCGTAATGTCAGGCATGGAAGGCCAGGGCGACAACTACGCAACCACGAGCGACGTCGCAAGCCTCCGCACCGACATGGAGCAGACGCAGGCGACGCTTCGTCGACTCGAAGCTATTTTAAGAAGCCACCTGGCGCTCGCCACGACAGCAGCAACGACTGCAACTACTGCAGCACCGACAATTCCAGCAGCAGTGGCGACACCGATATTTCACGGCCCAATGGCACCACCGACGCCGAACCTCGAAGCAGCACGACCGAGGCTCCCGGAAGCGTTCGATCCAAGCGCAAAGGGATCCCACGTCCGGCGTTTCGTGGCAATCCTCGAGATTTACTTCGAGGCCATTGGCTGTTCGACCCCGACATACGACGCAACACAAATCCGGCTCGCAGCAACACTGTTACGCGGACCAGCACTCGAGTGGATCTACAACACTGACGTGGCCCGCGGGGAGAAAACGTGGCAGCAGTTTCGGGCAGAATTTATCGGGCGTTTCGAACCGGTTAATACTACCTACATGGCGCGGCAACAAATTCATCGGCACAAGCAGTACGGTAGTGTAGCGCAATACACGCAGCAGATGGAGCTCCTGTTCACCCGCATCCCCGACCTGACCGAAGGCGAAAAAATCACGGCATACACAGAAGGGTTAAAATTGGGGGTTCAGCGGCAGGTGATCACATCAAATCACGAAAGCTACAGGGACATCGTACGTGCAGCCGAGCGTATCGACGCGCTGACCCGAAGTCAACCCGAAACACGACGTTTCACGCCGAACTGTACATTCGGCACGGAGCAATCGGCACCCCCCACGTTCGCCGAACCGATGGATATCGACAAATTCGACGCGAAGCAGCAGCCGACAAAATGCGAATTTTGCGGCGCACCAAAGCACCAATTTTTGTCGTGCTACAAAATGAAGAAAGCATATGTGGCACTCCGGGACGGTAATAGTGGAGCACCCCCGAAGTTAAAAAACGGGAATCGCCAGTAGCCGCAGATCGAACTGGCGATCACGTAAAGATCCGAAAAGCGAAAAAGGGCGACGACGTGGCGACTTTGGAGCGGGCGAAAAAAGGAGAAAATGATGGCGCGAATATAAAACGTCACGACCGGCCGGCATCAGGGGAAATCGCCGAGGCGACTGGTGGCTCCGCGAAAAAAGACTCTGCACCGACCGGGAAACTCCAGCTGGACCCCCACGAAAGTAATAAATCGTTAAAAGTATCCTATAAAGATACTCTAACGAAAAATATCGCTTCTCGTGGTTTTGAAGCCTTTGAAAAATTCAGGGGAGAACTAGAGGCCAAGAAAAAGCCTTTAGAAGTCATTCAGGTACCTGCAAAAATGGGCAAAGTATTACGGAGCGTAGAGAAGGGTCGTGCGTTCCGTGGTGTTAATATTCTCTCCCCGCAGCAGAGTGTTAAGGCTCCCCGTTGCCCACAGGTGAAGCCTACACAGCTGCAAAGGCTTAGAGGAAAATTCCAGGCTCAAGAGAAGATATACAAGCCTCTGAAAAATCCTCCTACCCCCCAGGTGAAGTTGGAAAGTGCTGAGTCGGGTATAGGAAACAGGGAAGGTATTCATTTTACTGTACCCTACGATCCTATTAATGAGACCCTCTTTGGCTACTCAGCGCAGCAGAAACCACTACTCCTCGAGGTGTTATGCAATGGGCGACGCCTCTAGCCACTGGTGGACAGCGGTGCATCTCACTCAGTGTGTGACCGCAGAGCATTGGAGAAAATTGGAGAGAAGGCGGAGGAGACCCAGTTTTCAGCAACCATGGTGGACGGTACGAAGCTTCATATCCACGGCGAAGTATCACTGCAGCTGCATATCGGTGCGTTAAGGTGGAAGCCGAAGCTGCCAGTCACCAACATCAAAGGATTAGATTTTATCTTGGGGCGAGATTTCGTGAAGCGGTTCAACCCCGAGATCGGTTGGGTCAACAGCAAGGTGTGCATCTACAACAAAGGGAAGCGGATAGCATTGCGAAGCTGGACGGATACAGGAGACGTACCTGAAACGACTCTGGCACGGTTTGAACAGACGGTGAACGAGAGCAACACCGGTTACTTAGCACTTGTTATGGCAGAAACAGAGGAGGAGAAGCCGAGTTCGGAGCTACCTGCAGCAGTGAAGGAGGTCTTGGTGCAGTACAAGGATATAATGCCCGACGACCTACCTGCAGGCGTACCCCCTGCACGCACCCACGAGCACGAGATCGTGGAGGAACCAGGTGCGAAACCCGTCTCACGTGCACCACACCGACTGAGTCCGACCGAACTGACAGACATGAAGAAACAGATCGAGTATCTACTGGACAGACAACTGATCCGACCCTCCACCTCTCCCTACGGCGCACCAGTTCTCTTCACACCAAAACCAGACGGCAGTTTACGGATGTGCATCGACTACCGCGCACTGAACAAACAGATACTAAAAAACAAATACCCCATACCGCGCATCGACGACTTACTGGACCAACTACGTGGTGCAAAAGTCTTCTCGAAGCTGGACCTACGGTCGGGTTACTGGCAGATCAAGATGGTGGACAACTCGATCCACAAGACGGCGTTCCGTACTCGATACGGCTCCTACGAATACTTGGTGATGCCGTTCGGACTCTGCAACGCACCAACAACGTTTCAGGCGGAGATGAATCATTTCCTTCGACCCCTGCTGGACGACTGCGTAGTAGTGTACCTGGACGATATACTCATCTACTTCAAGAACATGAAGGAGCACGTGGAGCATCTATGGAAGGTGTTCGAGATCCTGCGGAAGAACAAGTTCTACGTGAAGCTGTAAAAGAGCGACTTCGCCCTGAAGAAGGTGCAGTTTCTCGGGCACATGGTGAGTGCCGAGGGCGTACACGTGGACCCGCGGAAGATCGAAGCCGTCAAGGAGTGGAAAGTTCCGGAGAACGTGAAGGAGCTGCAGCAGTTCCTAGGCTTCGCCAACTACTACAACAGGTTCGTGCCACAGTACGCTAAGATTGCAGCGCCACTGACCGACCTCCTGAAAAAGGATACACCCTTCAAATGGGATACTCCTCATCAGCAAGCCATGGAACAGCTACAGACCGCACTGACCACAGCCCCGGTACTCATCCTGCCAGACCCCGAGAAGGACTACGTAGTTGAAGCTGACGCTAGTGACCAGGCAGTCGGATCAGTACTGATGCAGGATCACGAGAACGGTTTACAGCCTATCGCCTACCTCAGTAAGAAATTGCACG